TCCTTTTCAGTGGGCCCTTATTAGCATAAAATGAGACAGTGGCTAGGGCACTTTCTGTTACTGTAAAGTATTCAGTCAATGTGATTGCTAATGAACTTGGTAAAATATTTCCATCGCTACTTCAGTGCATAAGAGCCTCCTTGCCTTGAGCAGATCAGGCATATCTGAAAGACACTACCTCAAGCGTCCATGCTCAAACAAACACATTATGAAAAGCACATAGCCAGGTGTGGTGGTGCACACCTGCAATCCCAGCACTCCGGGAGGCTGAGGCAGAAGGGCCCCAAGTTTCAGACCAGCCTCAGAGGTCACTCAGGCAATGCTCCCCTGTTCTGGATATTATAGTGGTCCAGGAGGCAAGGGCCAGGTTTCAGGGCTGAAAGGATGGACAGACAGACGTTGAGACAAACAGGTCTCTCAACTCCTACCTCCCTCGCTTAGCCACTCGTGGAATCCCCCCCGCCCCGCCCCGAGATGGAACCAGACACAATGCAGAAGTTTAGCAAGAGAAGACAGCTGGAAAAGAGAAAGGGGAAAAACTTTCACCCAAAAATGAGGGAGGTGGGGGCCAACGGAGGGAACGCTGGCGTTAGATGTCTTCTTCTCTGTCCCTTTTGGTGACATTTCCCAAGTCGAGTGGCCCTGCATCTGTGAGGCCAAGCTGGACACAGCCCATTCCTGGACCCATGGACGCAAAGACCCAGGCGGTTCCTGAAAGGGTGGATACTACGTGTTTTTACTCTTCCCTGTATTTCTCATTTATTAGGGGACTTCTATGAGACGGCTGATGTCCAAGCATTTTATTTAAAAAAGATTATTCAGTAAAATATCCCTCGGGTTTGTTATAGGAAAATGTGAACTCCTACATATACATACTTAAACCCTAACTACCATTTCCTCCAATTTTACAAGTGAAAGACACTAATTTTAATTTTAGAAGCACCCACCAGATCTGGAGAAGCGGAAGACACCCACCGGGACCCCTGCCCAAGGGGGCGCTGCTCTCTCTGCTCTAACTGCGCACAGAGCACCCCAGACATCGCAGCTTCAAGTCCAGTTCGAGCCTTGGAATTGGCAATTCCTCTGCTGAGGGCCTACAGGGTGAACTTTGGACCAAATCTTTTCAAACAGCAAAGGAGACCCCTTCTTTCAGGAGATCTTTATGGGCAGCTCCTCCATTCCTGCCGGTGTCAGCTATCTTATCGTTTAACTGAAAGAGCCCCACGACAGTATTTAGCATGCTGCGCTATCAGAAGAAAATGAGGATTTTGCTAGCTTTGTTAGCAAGGTGTGAGCTCAGAACATTGATCGCCTCTCCATTATTTTCTTTCCTGGTACTGGGGTCAAACCCACTCAGTTATACCCACAAGTTACAGCCTCTCCTCCACCCTACATTTTTAAAGTTTTGAGACAAGGGCTTACTAAGTTGCTCGGAAAGGACTTGGGCTTGTGACTCACCTACCTCAGCCTCCCAAAAGTGCCATGGACTGATTTATTATTTGCAAGAAATATTTCAGAGATGGCTTTGCACACCAAAGTACTCAGGTCTGTTTATATTTTATTAAAGTATGTGTACATATTTACATGGACATGCCTCAATTCACATATGCAATGGTTAATGATGGAATCTGGATAACTGGCACATCCATGCCTTAAATCTATCATTTCCTTACGATTGGCACATGAACATCTTCTCTTCTACCTATTTTGAGGTCTACAGTGCACTGCTGTCAAGTCCCGTCACCATCTGGAGCACTAGAACACCAGAAAGTGTCCCTCCTGCCTGACGGTAACCTTATATAAGTCAGCCATGGCCTCATCTCTCCCTCTCACCGGCCCTTAAAACTATCACTGTACTCTCAGAGTCCATGAGGTCAAGACTGCAGCTTCCGCATGTGTGGTGACATACCACACATGGCTTTCTGTGCCCATGCCTGCCTCAGTTCACTCTATACAGTGTCTCCAGGCCCACCCAGCTTGTCCTAGAGGACAGACTGCATCCTTTCCTAGCATGACAGGATTCATGAGCTGGCTCTCACATTTCTTCCTCCAGTCACCCACAGATGGACATGTAGGCTGATTCCATCTCTGGCCATTAGGTCCAATGTTGGAGGCCCAATATGCTATCCACTGCCACCCACCTTTTCCAGGATGGAGATCCAGGCAGACCCCTTCTCAATTTATGTATTTTCTTTGAATGCGTAAAGTACCAATTTAGTGACTGCCCAATGTGAAAGCAACAAGGAAAAGCTGAAAAGTGGGGACAAGGAAAGGGCTCTTCTCCCTTTCTCTTTCTCTCCTCGAAACTTCACATTTTGTTTGTGCTTGACTTCTAGGGCGGACCAATTTGTCATTATTTTCCCAAAAAGTATAATCTGTGTTTATCCTTTCTAACCGACCCACCCTCAGTTTCAACACCAAAATCAACTTCTGTCTGGAAGGTTTTCTGGGACAGGTTCTTCACTGGGATCACTGGGGTCAGGGTTTTGTTTTTGTTTTTGTTTTTACACATTCGAGTTTTGGTGTCACTTGGATCCTACGCAGTCATAGAATTGAACCCAGGGGACAAGGTTCGAGTGGTACCCTGACCTCTCCACTGTGACCAGACCCAGTTTCTCAGGCTCTAAGGAGAGGCTGAAGAAGCCCAATGTGAGGGTAAAAGGAGCTAAACTTCTCTTGTTTTCCATTTAACTGGGCTTTTGCTGTTGTAGTTTTGCTTAAGATATGTGCTTAATAACTGCTTAATATGTGCTTAAAGTATGTGCTTAATAGAAACAAATTCAAACAATTCATCCTGCAAAGCACAGGATGAATGCAAAACCTTCCTCCTCTTCCTTCCTAACTCACCGTCTTCTTCCTTCACCATTTTCTAAGAAAGAGTCCAGGTTAATGAAGACCAGTTCAAAATTTTCCTAAGCAGAAACACAAGCATGAAATCTCCTTGTTATTTAAAATATATAATGGAGGCCTACTAAAATATATAATGGAGCCAAAAGGAGGGAAAACCTGAGACTTTTATAAATAAATGAATTCAACTCAGGACCGTATTCATAAGGGAACTAAATCAGACCACACCCATCTCGCCAGTGCAAGAACTGAGTGAGCCACTAAGATCCAGAGTGTACAACAGGTATTGTGAATTGGCAAGAAACCGTTCAAAAGAAAAGAGAAACTGTGATGGAGAAAAGGGGAAAGGAAACAAGGGAAAAAGAAAAAAATACACACAAGACAGTTAAGATTTGCAGCTAGTTTCTCTTAGTTAATTGAAAAGAAAGGTTTGTGCTAATATTGTTTGGGCCAAATTTTGTGCCTGCATCTTGTACTCTGAATAACCAAAAGAACAATATGCAGTGTATTATTGTTACTCTTCTACTAGCCTGTTTTGAAACTGTTTTATTGTGGTTTTTTTGTCTTTAAAATTAAAAAAAATGCAAGCATACATAAAATGCATCGTGCACACAATTTTCTATTTTGTGGTTA